CTGTCAACAAGTAAAGTATGAACACCAAAGGCCCGGAGGAATACTTCAGAGAATGCCCATTCCTGAATAGAAGTGGGAAAGGATTGCAATGGATTTCGTGGTTGGTCTTCCAAAGACATTGGGAAAGTTTGATTCTATTTGGGTAATTGTTGATAGGTTAACTAAGTCTACTCATTTCATTCCGGTCAAGATGACTTACAATGCAGAGAAGTTAGCCAAACTTTACATCTCGGAAGTGGTGCGATTGCATGGGGTTCCACTCTCCATTATATCAGATAGAGGTACGCAGTTTACTTCTAAGTTTTGAAAAACGTTGCACGCGGAATTGGGTACTAGGTTGGACCTTAGTACTGCGTTCCACCCTCAGACCGATGGTCAGTCTGAGCGAACGATTCAAGTGTTGGAAGATATGCTTCGTGCATGTGTGATAGAATTTGGTGGTCAGTGGGATAGCTTCTTACCCTTAGCAGAGTTCTCCTATAATAATAGCTATCACTCAAGCATTGATATGGCCCCATTTGAGGCACTATACGGGAGAAGATGTAGGTCTCCCATTTGGTGGTTTGATAAATTTGAAGTCAGACCTTGGGGTACTGACCTTCTAGGGAATCGTTAGATAAAGTGAAATCTATTCAAGAAAAGCTTCTAGCGGCGCAAAGTAGACAGAAGGAGTATGCAGATCGAAAGGTTAGAGACTTGGAGTTTATGGAGGAAAGGTTTCGCCAATGAAAGGGGTGATGCGGTTTGGTAAGCGAGGTAAACTTAGCCCAAGGTATATTGGTCCATTTGAAGTACTGAAGCGAGTAGGGGAGGTGGCTTATGAGTTAGACTTTCCTCCAGGGCTGTCCGGAGTGCATCCGGTATTCCATGTGTCGATATTGAAAAGATACCATGGGCATGGAAACTACATTATCCGTTGGGATTCAGTTTTGCTTGATGAGAACTTGTCTTATGAGGAGGAACCTGTTGCCATTCTAGATAGAGAAATTCGCAAGTTGAGATCAAGGGAGATCGCATCCATCAAAGTTAAATGAAAGAATCGACCCGTTGAAGAAGCCACTTGGGAGAAGGAGGCAGATATGCGAGAAAGATACCCACATCTGTTTACAGATTCAGGTACTCCTTTTCGCCCTTGTTTTCCTTCTTGTGATCGTTCGGGGACGAACGATGGGTAAATTGGTATCTATTGTAACGACCTGTTTAGTCGTTTTGAACAGCAGGTTTTATTTCTGGAAAAACAGGCTGAGGCGACGGACCCCCACGACGGACCGTCATGGGCACGACGGACCGTCGCAGGGTCTCGTTGCAAAACACTTAGAAAATCTGAAATTGGGTACTGAAAATCGACTCTCTGAACTTCGTAACGAAATGGCAGGACGGACCGTCACATGTGTGACGGACCGTCACAGACTTTGGTGGAAATTGAGTCTCTGAATCTCGCGACGACCTACAGGACGGACTGTCGCAGGAATGACGGGCCATCGCAGGTTGCGTAATCCCAGTCTAGGTCGGATTTCTTTATACATTTTAAGGGACGTTTTTGACTATTCCTACTTTAATTATAAAATTAGTGGGTTAATGTTAATAAGTCTAATTACTTGGGGGTTAAAAGAGGTAACCTTAAGTTAATTAGTGAGTTATTATTGCCATCTTTTATTCTTAATTATATACTAATTAGGGCAAAAGAAAGAGGGTTTGAATAAAGAAAATAGAAAGAACAAAGAGAAGAAAAGAGAAACGATAGAGAGAGCATCGAACGAGAGGAAAAACACAAAGCTTGGGAAATCACTTGCTTGATCACTAATCTTCGGTGGAGGTAGGTTATGGTTTCTCTTACGATATTCGTAGTAAACTCTTAAAAGCGAATGATATGTATTGATAATATTGTAAACCCTGCTATGTGCTTAATTGTATGCTTGCATGAATGTAATTATATAATTGTGATTATATAAGCATGATGAAGTTATTGAATCCCAAATCTTGCAAAAACCTAATCTCTCTGTTAATGATGAGGCCTTGGTATAAAAGAAGGCGTGATGAACTAAAATAATGAGATTGATGATGCCTTGGTAAGAAAGAAGGCTTGATGAATTGTTAGAAGGAGATTAGGGGATCGGGTGTCACGAACCGACACGTATATTTAGGGGATCGGGTGTCACGAACCAACACGTAGATTTAGGGGATCGGGTGTCACGAACCAACACGTAGATTTAGGGAATCGGGTGTCACAAACCGACACGTAGATTTAGGGGATCGGGTGTCACGAACCGACACGTAGATTTAGGGGATCGGGTGTCACGAACTGATACGTAGATTTAGGGGATCGGGTGTCACGAACCGACACGTAGATTTAGGGGATCGGGTGTCACGAACCGATATGTAGACTTAGGGGATCGGGTGTCACGAACCGACACATAGATTTAGGGGATCGGGTGTCACGAACCGACACGTAGATTTAGGGGATCGAAGTGTCACGTACCGACATAAGAGGATTAATGAATATGAGGGAGCGGAGTGTCACGTACCGACACAAGAGAAATAAAGACAATAAATCTTGAAAGATGGTAATATACTCAATCTAATGAACATAATTCCCAAATGAGTATGGTATTGAGGCTTGAGTCCTCATGTGTGAACCTGACGGTAATTGTTAATGTTATAGTACTTGCTGTTGCTACATGTTGAGTATCATAGTTGATTTTATGATATTACTTGGTACATATTGATTTCTATTTTGAGTTGGCCGATGATATTTACTCAGTACCCGTGTTTTGTACTGACCCCTACTTTTATGTTTTCTTCTTGTTTATTTGTGGAGTGCAGCAAACGTGCCGTCATCTTCGACTCAACACTAACTCTAGCCAGTCTCCATTACTCTGGATATCAGGGTGAGCTAATGCTTCTAGCTTTGACTGGATCTTCCTCTTCATGTCTTGATGCCTTGAAGTTCCGGCATAGACTAGTTTTTATTTGTTTTAGCTTCTTAGAATACTCTTAGTTTAGTAATTTGATCATAGATGTTCTTGTGGTGATGACTTCCAGATTTTGGGAAATAATAGTTATTGAATTGGTTTTTATTAATGAGTTTAATTCTTCCGCATTATTTTATGATGATATTACATTGAAATGTTAAGGTTTGGATTGGTTGGTTCGCTCACATAGGAGGGTAAGTGTGGGTTCCAGTCGCGGCTCGGTTTGGGTCGTGACATAGAAGAGTCATCAATACTGGTACAAAAGTTACAAAGAGGGATGATGTTGTCACTGGTGATATTGGCTACACACCAGCACGTGGATTCAAATGGAAGGGGAAGACAACTATTACAAGTAGCAATCTGGAAAGAATGAGGGCTGAAAAGGTTATCCAAACTAGGTCTGTAGCTGCTGCTAATGCTGCTAATAGCTAAGGTCAAACAACTTCAAGTAGAAAAACTTCTGTGCCATGGAAGTAGGGCATTTTGATGTTGTCTTGTTCATTTTGACAAACAAAATTTAACTAAGCATATATTTGTGTTGTTTTTTTTATTGGAAACAAACTCAATTTTGGGTGTAACCAAACAAACTTGAATGTTTGGAATCAAACTCGATTATGAAGTCTTCTTTTTTGTCAGTTTTGTTATTGCCTTTTTAATTGTAATTGACATACTTGTGAAGCTTCTCAAATGGTTGCCACGATAATATAGATTAGAGAACCAAATACATTAACTAATTGTTCAAATTATAACAATTTCGACAACAAAGAACAACAATAACTTGAACATTCAACAATCTTTCAAGTTACATACACCTACAACTAGCAAGATCAAGACAATTAGCTTCTAGGTACACACACCTACAATTTCAAAAATTTGAAAGTAACTAAACATGTCTATGGCAATTTTGGTTGCACACACCTACAACTTCCATCCTTCACATTCTTGGTTAGACTTAAAAATAGAAAACACACAATAATGATCAAGACGATTAGCTTCAAGTTACAACATTTGCCCTTCTTCTTCTCCTTCATCATGACTTGATTACTTTCAACACGACTTTCATAAGATGTCAATATTTCTTCCAACTCCTTAATTCTCTTTGCTAATCTCGGAATAACATACTTGGATCTTATATCAACTTCTTCTCGATCCCTCCATCTAAAGAAGTTGCACGCATCCTCCTAAAATACGGAAAACACAAATTAAAGAATAATACATAAACAAAAGATCTCCATAAAAAAATTAGTAAACATACACGATAGCGTGGACAAGACCAAAATCTTCGAGCTGGGTTATGCTCCGACCATGAAGTTTGCATTGATAGTAAGTCACCATGTTTGCATCGCAGTTTCACTCGCAACATCGGATCATTCTCATCATTACAAATACGATTCAACATTGCATTTGACATTTTCAATCAAAAACTAACCAAAAAATTGAAAAGAAATTCAACCATAAAAAAACTTCAAATTAACGTTTATACTGGAAATTAAAAGAGAAAAGACGAATTCCTACCTTATTTTCTTGAGGAAGATGAAGAAGTCGTCAAAAAGAGAGCAGCAATATTGTTCTTGCCATGGAAATCAAAATTTTAGGGCTACCAACGGCTATTTTTGAGTTTAAATTGGGAAAGATACAAAAATTGATTAAATAATTAATATTAAAGAAAGAAAATGACATGTGGCTGTTTTAAAGTGGTAAAGAAAAAGGAAAAATGGCCCATGACGCGCCTAACGTGCGTGTAAACAACCCAGATGAGTTAATGGGTAAAAATGGCCAATTTACAACGATATATAATTGTTTAGTGGTGTGTTAGGACACTTCAAAAGTTTAGGTGTCTTTATGTAAATATGGGACAACTTCGATGTCTCTTTATGTCTTTTCTCAGTTAGAAAAATTATGTTGACATAAATGATAAAACGTAAAATATTTCATTAATATGGTACATTTATGTGATTTACCATCAAAATATTATGTATAAGAATATATCAATATACAATTACCACAACACAAACCCCATCCCCACCCCCACCCCCACCCCCTTCTCTTTCTCTCCAAATAAACATGTGCTCATGTAAACCCTCATTTTTCAGAAATCATATTTGTGAAAACTGTAAATCAAACTCAATTTGTTCACTCACGGATCATTTGGGGAAGAAAATTACAAAAGACAGGTAACTTCTTATCTATCAATGGTTTTGTTCTTATTTTTGATCATTTAATTTGGTCTTCTGTGTAATTTTTTTTAATGGAGTATACATATTGTATTATTGTGATTTAAATGTGAAGGAGTGGTGAGGGTTTCTCAATTTGCATTTCAAAACTCATGCAGAATTAAGTTTTCATTTTGGAAGATGGAGGGCTTATTCTTTAGGGCATTTAGGTTTGTTTTGCATCTTTTTTAGCAATTAACGCACTTTTCACTTCTTGGTGATAGGATTCTCATCCTTTCGTATCCAAGATTACATGCATGGATCTAGAGGTTTTTTCAAGCTTTAGGGAAGTGTCATGATTTCATTACCTTGTTGGATGGTCTAATAATCAGGTAAATATGTCCACCCTTTCCATAATATGATTGAAAAAACTAGAGTAGAGGAGGAGAGGGGATGAAGAAGGTGTTTAAAGTAGAAGTGTGGAGTTTTAAATATTTTCTAACTCTAATTAATATTTCTTTTACAGTGGATGAAATAGCTAATGCTTTGATTCATGTACTAACTATTAAAATATTAGCAGAACATTTCTATCATTGTTGTATGCCTAGATCTTTTTGATATTCTTATGTCTTCACCACATGCATCGCTATATATGAGAAAGGAATTTGTGTACATAACAAATATGTAGCCACGAAAGTTATTTGTTGCCACAGAGGAAATTCCAGGAAGCTTAGTTTAGTTGTATAAATATATAGCCATGAAAGAGGAACTGTCTTCATAAATTTAGGTCGTATCCTTGATTGACTTGAAATTCATTTTCTGGAATGTAGATTAGTTCAACGAGCAGGGTCTAAAATTCATCCTTTAATGCTGGAGTATTGACTATGTATATATTGTGTAGTTCTTCACCTTTCTAGTTTTGTGTTTGTTATCCTGCGATTTCTTAGCAACTGCTGCTCAAGATGGTGTTAAACTTTGGGACTTGTGCAAATTGAAGAACTTTAGAACTTTCACTTCTTACGATGAGAATACACAAACTCAATCAGGTATACATTAACTGCACTCTATTGAAGCAAGACACTAAATTCATACTATGAATAAAAAATAATTGAATCTCATATTTGTTCTTATACTTCTGAATAATTTAACTGGAAGGCTGTATACCATTTTTAACACTTATAACTGAATCTATAGTTAAGTTAAATGTCCACTGTTGATGATACTAGAGCTTCATTCTGAGTTGGGAAAACTAAAGTAGGAGTTGAATTGAATAGCTTCTCTAATTACTATCAAAGTTCTAGTTTATTTTTTTCTTCTTTAGAATAGATTGATGTATTTTAATAAAAGAGTCTGAAAAAAACAGTGTGTCAATATTGTTTCTTGCTAGTAACACTAGTTTAGGACGTTGGTATTATATTTGTTGTTGAAAATAATTTATCTTCCTTGTGTCACATCATTATTTTTTATTAATATTGTTCTACTAAGCAGTTTCTACGACTATAACTTATGTTTGTTTTTGTAAGATTACTACCTTATTGTTGGATCTAAAACAATAAAATGACTTGTACTCAAGATTAGCACTATACAGGTGACCATCTACCCTATTCGACTATATTTGTATGTGTTGGCTTCTATTACCATGTTCTTTGTTCTCATTCCGGCTGCTATTAATGCTTTTGGTTGTACATCATATTCGTTCTTACTCTCTTTAAGCTACCCTCTCTTTCGAAGTTTCTAATAATGAAAACTTTTTTAGAAAACTATTTTTCTATCTCAGTTGTTTTTTACTTGTATGGTATACATGTAAGAGTCCATATACATCACATCTCTATATTCTCTTAATAAGGGTCTACACATCGTATAGCAAAAACTTAAAATGTTTCGTAGGTAGATAATATTCGATTGACAAGTGTAATCATGACTCGAGAGAAATTCTCCTGCAATTTGTTTACACAACTCTATTTAGACTGGAATGTTAGGAACTGAACAGAGCAAAGAAACCTTAACATTGCCGTTTTAGCTTTCTTACAAAATTTCTAATTCTTATGACTAATCTGCCCAATTCATAAACCTCAACTTTTGTGTTGCTGAATCCAATAACTAAGCATAAATATAGCAAAAACAATATCTTAGCAAACTACTTTTTTCCAGAATTTCTAGTTTTCAATAAAGTTTCTTCATTCTTGCAAGCTAGTTAATGAAAGTCAACACATTTGTTGTTGAATATGTATTAAGTTTGGCTCTGTAGTTTAGTCGTGCATCTTAGAAAATTATTATGTTTCATGATTGGACTTAGAGATTTAGTCCAGTATTATGAGAAAATTTTTTCATATAGTGCACAATTGGTACAATTTGTAACTCGAGTGTAAGTGCTTGATCAAATAGGCCTAAATTTGAGTTTATTTTAACAAAACCATGTTAAATTTAATTTATGTTTTTTAGTGTTTAAGGACTAGTTGATTATGTTTTTTTTTCTCAATTTCTATAATGTGTCTAGGTTGTATATAATGTTAAATGTTAACTTCTACTTAACATTATTTGGTTGACATTCTAATTTAGTATTGAATATACTTGGGCAGCCTTCTTTCAGTTGTTTCAAATTTTGAAGATGGATATATTTGAGACTCCAATGCTCGAGTTACTATTAGACATAATTCATCATTTAACTAATTTTCTAGAAGTTCATCTTTATAGTTTTTGTATTGTTTAAATTGTGTATATTGCAGGTGATGAAGACATGAGTTCAGAAGTCAAGCAATAAATTTTGAAGTCATAAAGCAAGCTATTAAGTTCGTGATCATTTTTCAATGACTAATAGATTAAAATTTGTATTTTTCATTATGGTTGTACATACTTTTGGTAAGAGGTTGTGTAAACAATATAGTGATTTTTATCTTAGTCGTCTAGTGTCACCAATAAGATGTTATCCATATTTTATACATAATTAATTATATGTATTAAACCATGATATTATTGAATATATTATTTTTGGAATCCCGTCGATTTGAATAGATGTATGAAACTCTTGAACTACTTATGGTCAATTAGAAACAAAAATATTACCGTATCTAAAGATTAATCTACTATCCAGAGATTTAACGACCAGGAAACACTACTTTTAAAGGGTTGTTAGCGGCCAGTTTTGTTTCCGTCCTTAATTCCATTTAACGACCGGTATAAGAAGCCCGTCGCAATTAACTTTTACCGAAGATACCTATTAGGACATTTTCCTGTCCCAATAGACAATTTGGGACTGGATACAGACATTTAGGGACCAGAGTGTAACGACCTGTTTAGTCGTTTTGAGCAGCAGAGTTTATTTCTGGAAAAACTGGCTGAGACGACGTATCCCACGACGGACCGTCATGGGCACGACGGACTGTCGAGGGGGTCTCGTTCCAAAACACTTAGAATTCTGAAATTTGGGTACTGAAATCGACTCTCTAAACTTCGTAACGGAATGGCAGGACGGACCGTCGTGGGCACAACGGACCGTCACACATCTTCCACAGAAAATTAGTCTCTGAACTCTGCGACGACCCAGCAGGACGGACCGTCGCAGGCACGACGGCCCGTCACAGACTGCGTAATCCCAGGCTGAGTCGGATTTCTTAAATGTTTTAAGGGGGCGTTTTGGGCTATTCCCGCTATAATTATAAATTTAGTGGGTTAATGTTAATAATTTAACTACTTGAGAGTTAAAAGAGATAATCTTGAATTAATTAATGGGTTAAATTCATCATCTTTCATACTTAATTATATGCTAATTAGGGTAAAAGAAAGAGGGTTTGAATAAGAAAAAGAAAAGAACACAAAGAGAGAGAGAGAGAGAGGATCGAACGAGAAAGAGGAGAAACGAGAAGAAGAACAAAGCTTTGGGAACTTGCTTGCTTGATCACTAATCTTCGGTGGAGGTAGGTTATGGTTTTTATACTATTCGTAGTTAACTCTTAATGGCGAATGATATGTGTTGGGTTGTATTGTAAAGTCTTCTATATGCTTAATTGTATGCTTGCATGAATATGATTATATAATTGTGATGAAATAAGCATGATGAAGCTATTGAACTCCAATCTTGAAAACCCCTTGTTAATGATGATGCCTTGGTATAAAAGAAGGCTTGATGAACTAAAGTAATGAGATTGATGATGCCTTGGTATAAAAGAAGGCTTGATGAAGTAATAGCATGAGATTAGTGGAGCGGGTGTCACGAACCGACACGTAGAATTAGGGGATCGGGTGTCACGAACCGACACGTAGAATTAAGGGATCGGGTGTCACGAACCGACACGTAGAATTAGGAGATCGGGTGTCACGAACCGACATGTAGAATTAGGGGATCAGGTGTCACGAACCGACACGTAGAATTAGGGGATCGGGTGTCACGAACCGACACGTAGAATTAGGAGATCGGGTGTCACGAACCGACACGTAGAATTAGGGGATCGGGTGTCACGAACCGACACGTAGAATTAGGGGATCGGAGTGTCACGTTCCGACACATAGTAGTAGGGGAGCAGAGTGTCACGTGCCGACACATGAGGAATAAAGATAATGAATCTTGGAATTATGTTAATAAATTCGAATGAAAAGAACCTAATTCCCAAATGAGCATGATATGGAGGCTTGAGTCCTCATGAGTGTACTTGACGTTATTTATCAAAGATTCTTGTACATGTTGTTGCTACAAATTGAGTATTGTAGTTGATTTATGATATGATCTGATATATATTGTTTTCTATTTTGAGTTGGCCGATGATATCTACTCAGTACCCGGGTTTTGTACTGACCCCTACTTGTATGTTTCTTTCCTTGTTATTTGTTGAGTGCAGCAAACGTGCCGTCGTCTTCAACTCAACCGCAACTCTAGCCAGTCTTCATTACACTGGATTTCAGGGTGAGCTAACGCTTCTAGCTTGGACTGGATCTTCTTCTTCATGTCTCGATGCCTTGAAGTTCCGGCATGGACTAGCTTTTTATTTATTCTAGCTTTCTAGATACTCTTAGCTTTAGTAATTTGAGGATAGATGTTCTTGTGATGATGACTTCCAGATTTTGGGGATAATAATAGTTGTCGAGTTTTTAGAAGTTATTTAATTGATTTTCATTAATGAGTTTAAGTCTTCCGCATTATATTGTGTTATTATATTCGAAATGTTGGGTTTTGTATTGATTGGTTCGCTCACATAGGAAGGTAAGTGTGGGTGCCACTTGCGACCCGTTTTGGGTCGTTACAAACTTGGTATCAGAGCCTTAGGTTCGTTGGTCTCATTACACAAGAACGAGTCTAGTAGAGTTTTGGGGAACGGTAGGGGGATGCCTTTACTTTTCTTTGAGAGGCTATAAGACTTTAGGAAAATTCCATTCTTTCTCTCTTTCTTTCGTGCTATTACTTGGATCCAATTGGTATCTAGGTGATACAAATTGGTATCTGATCATCTTCACTCTATTTCGCAGATGGTTAGAACTAGAGCAACAACCGCGCCAACATCAACATCGGCAAGACAAGATGCATCTGAGCCAGCCACTGAGACTGTAGCTCAAAGAGGATCAGTAGCAAGAGGCCGCGGTAGAGGTCGCGGGAGGACGTCCTCTAGAGGAAGAGGACGAACGCCAGGCCCATCTGGTACTAGGGAGGTGACTCCTCCACCGAGTGAGGAAGTAGTAAGAGAAGGGGAGGATGGGGAAAATGAACAAGTACAGAATGAAGAATTACCACCCCAACCTACCCAGAGATGATCAATCAGATTCTTGCTTATCTTAGCGGGTTATCTGATCAAGGCCAAGCGCCTCCAGTGTTTTCTACACCAACACCTCAGGCTCCGGAGATACAACATGTGGCTACTGTGGCTCCCTGCATGGATGCCTCATTGGAAATAGGCGCGTTTCCTCATCTGACTACAGGGCCTATAATGACAAATGATCTGCATGAACTTTTCAGTAAGTTCTTGAAATTGAAACCTCCAGTCTTCAAGGGTGCTGAATCTGAGGTGCCTACGATTTTCTGGTTGACTGTCATGAGCTACTACACAAGATGGGTATAGTAGAACGGTTTGGTGTTGAGTTTGTGACTTATCAGTTCCAAGGGAACGCCAAAATGTGGTGGCGGTCACATGTTGAGTGTCAACCATCAGAGGCACCACCTATGACTTGGGCATCATTCTCTAGCTTGTTTATGGAGAAGTATATCCCCCGTACTTTGAGGGATAGGAAAAGAGATGAGTTCTTGAGCCTAGAGCAAGGTAGGATGTCGGTTACCGCATATGAGGCTAAGTTTCGTGCATTATCCAGGTATGCCACACAACTTTGTTTCAGTCCACAAGAGCAGATTCGCCGTTTTGTGAAGGGGTTAAGGTCAGAATTGCGGATTTCAGCCTTACAGGTAGTGGCTACGGCAAAATCTTTTCAAGAAGTGGTAGACTTCGTGATAGAGGTAGAAGGAGTGAAGCCAGATGACTTCACCATGGCAACGACATCAAAAAGGCTTCAAAAGGGAGGTGAATTTAATGGTTCTTACTCTAGAGGACAGGGTTCAGGAGGTTACTCAGTCCGACCAATTCAGTCTTCACTACAGACTGTAGTTGGGGGTCCACCTCAGACCGGTCAACACTTCTCTGAGAGACCTATGCTTGACTCCAGGGAGTGTTATGTATGTGGGGAGACTGGACATATTAGGAGGAATTGCCCAAAACAGAGTTATAGACCCCCAATAGCTAGAGGTAGAGGTGGTCATGGTAGAGGCCGCTATTCTGGAGGACGTGGTGGCCGAGGTAATGATGGTCACCAAAACGGACGGGGTGACGGACAAATGGGAATTACTGTAGCGCAACATGGTAGGGGCAATGGGCAGACAGGTGATAGGACCCATTGTTATGCTTTCCCTGGGAGATCTGAAGCGGAGAAATCTGATGCTGTCATCACAGGTAATCTTTTGGTTTGTGATTGCATGACTTCTGTATTGTTCGATCCTGGATCCACATTTTCTTATGTATCTTCCTCATTTGCTAATGGTCTTAATTTACATTGTGAATTGCTTGACATGCCTATTCGTGTTTCTACTCCGGTGGGTGAGCCTGTGATAGTTGAAAAAGTATATAGGTCTGGTCTGGTGACTTTTGCGGGGAGCAATACTTATGTAGACTTGGTTATCTTAGAAATGGTTGATTTTGATGTAATTCTAGGTATGACTTGGCTTTCTCCGAATTTTGCAATCTTGGATTGTAATGCTAAAACTGTGACGTTAGCCAAGCCTGGGACAGATCCGTTAGTGTGGGAGGGTGACTACACTTTCAATCCGGTTCGTATCATCTCCTTTCTTCGTGCTAAGAAAATGGTTAGTAAGGGTTGTTTAGCGTTCTTGGCACATCTCAGGGATGATACTACCCAAGTACCTCCAATTGAGTCAGTTTCGATAGTTCGTGAGTTTTTAGATGTGTTTCTCGCAGACCTTCCGGGTATGCCACCGGATAGAGATATTGACTTCTGCATTGATCTTGAACCGGGTACTCGCCCCATTTCTATACCCCCTTATAGAATGGCTCCCGCGGAGTTGAGAGAGTTAAAGGCCCAACTTCAAGAGTTGTTAAGCAAAGGCTTCATGTGCATCTCCTTGGGGTGCTCCGGTGTTATTTGTGAAGAAGAAGGATGGGAGTTTTCGGATGTGCATAGACTACCGGCGGTTGAACAAGGTAACTATTAAGAACAAGTATCCCATTCCTCGCATTGATGACTTATTCGATCAGTTACAAGGTGCTTGTGTCTTCTCTAAGATTGACTTGAGATCCGGTTATCATCAATTGAAAATACGGGCAACGGATGTGCCAAAGACTGCTTTTCGGACCAGGTATGGGCATTACAAATTTGTAGTGATGTCTTTTGGTCTTACGAATGCCCCTGCTGCTTTCATGAGCTTGATGAACGGGATTTTCAAGCCATATCTGGATCTCTTTATGATCGTATTTATTGATGATATATTGGTATACTCAAAGAGCAAGAAG